AAAAGAAAAACTAGAAAGAGGGGGAAGATAGGTGGTTCCAGAGTTAGAGAGAGAGAACTAGAAATACAGAAGAACAAAAGTAGGAAGTTCCAAAACAATGCAAACTGAAAATAGTAAAAAATGGTGAGTCTAGTCAGAGAGGGCGGAAACTACCAAAAAGTAGAAGATGGGAGTTCCAAAGAAACGCCAAGAGAGAGAAAATACAGACCAGAAGTCAATGAGCCAAAAAATGTGGAAGAGAGCTAAGAGATAAGCACCGAGGGGAGTAAACCCCTAACTTGCCGAAACGGGAATCTTAAATATCAGGATCTCACTTAAGATCGTGCACTGAATTGGCCAAATACAAAGTAGATAAATATAACTATAAATCAAGTGTGAAAAATAAAGAAAATATAAAAAACATACTACAACAACACACGATTTAGGTAGTTCACCCGTAGAGTTACATCTACGGCCTCGGCAACTAGAAGTCTACTATCACATTGAAAAATTACAGTTTTGGGTTACAAGAGATAATACCTATTTCTAAACATTGGTAAAAGACCATCACCGATCTTCTTTTTAAACCCGCTCTCTTGACCGAGCAATACCGTCGATCAATCTCTTTCCCACCGTAATACCGTTAGTAGAAAGATAACATCGAGAGCAACATAAATATTTTCTCTCTCTAAAAGTAGAAGTTATCCAACTCAATACTTATTGGAATACTGCTTCTCTCGGAGGCCATGAGTATTATGTCTTCTTTCACTCTCTGTTATAAAGATATCTCTTTCTTTCTTGAAAATCATTTTTTTATTTCCTATAATATCATAATCATTAGAAAAAAATATGGGTATAGTGATTTAGCTATCACCAAACCCAACAAGAAAAATCCAAGATAGAGAGATGGAGATGAAAAAATTAGGCAAGTTTCAGAGTAGAGAGAGGGAAGCAGCAAAGGCAAAGGGCATGAGGGTGAGAGACATATTTACTGTGAGAGAAGAAAGAGAGAAAAAATTGCAAAGAGCAAGAGTAGAGACCGAAATGTTACAGTAGTGAGAGACGAAGGGGTTATTTTTTCGGTTTTTAAAATACCGAAAATTGACAATTTGATCATTTTTTTAAAAATCGTTATAAAGTTCAGAAAACAGAAATATGAGTAATAATGGAAAGTTTTAGGTATTTTGATAATAACATAAAATAAAAAGTTATTTATATAATTTTTTCTAAAAACTTTTTATAATATTATATAGCATTTTCTATATTTATCAAATAATCAATATTTAATCATGTAGAAAGCATGTAAATATAATAAATTAATTTTTTTTGTTGACAGGATTATATAAGAATAGAACTTGGAGACGCAGTGCTATGCGCACCCAGGTGCTATAACCGGAATACTACATGTCCAATCCATTTACGGATTATGCACGACAAACTTGTACTATGTATATTAATATTTCATCCCTTTCACAATATTGCCCAATACAAGAAAGAAAAACTGTTGATGTCGATGAACCATATGTACTATATCTACAAAATGGTCCCAATCCAGCCTATAAGAAAGTCACACCCCAATTATTGAAGGCATCCGCCAACTAATGCTACTTAGTATAATCCAACTTTTCGTATGGGACATTATTTATTTATTTATATAATACCAGTGCCTTCCTTTAATTGGCCTGCCGTTTTTCAAACAGTGGTAGCAATAATGTAAGGCACGTGATTACGGATATCGAAATCTTGTGTGGGGGGCAAAGTGCACAGAATAGTCAAGATGGGCCTTTTTCACATTCAATAGCCACTTCAAATAGTTGAGATTATGCTCCAATGACGATAATTTTAAGTTACTATTATTGTCTTGTGTAGAGGTCGAGAGAGAGAACTTATTAGCATTGGGTATGCACATGGACCTCATTTAGTACGTCTTTGGCGGGACCCTCTCCCATCTAGCAACATTCAATGCATTAATAAAGTTCGTGTTGACCTCGTATGCGTGTGCTATCAAAGGTCAAAACAAGATGGGAATTTTTTTTAAAAAAAAAATAATAAAAAATAATAAAAAAACCCAGCATACACCTTCTTTTTAACTTACCCCAACCGAACTTTTTTTCTCATTTTTTTTTTCGAAATACATTTTCTTTGTAAATACTCTTCCAATCAATAAAAAAAAAAAAGTACCTAAACTACCTTCAATACTTTTACATTATCCACGTCTCTCTCATCTATCCCACCAAAATAGGGTTCCGGCACTATGTAAATGTCGTCCGGTAGTATCACTTCGACACTGTGTAAAGTCGGTTTGGCAGTAAGGCTTCAGCAATGTATAAAGTACGGTACGGCAGTAACGCTCCGGCACTGTGTAAGTGGGGTCCGGCAGTAAGGCTTCGGCACTGTGTAAGTGCGGTATGGCAGTAAAGCTCCGGCACTCCGTTTCAGTCTCGTAGTTGTCTTAGGCGGTCGGGTACTTAAGCGCTCCGACAACGTGATGGTGCGTTTCGACAATGTTCTACTGGGTTCCAAAATTCAACGTAAAAAATGTTGTTCTGTGTATGGAAAGGGCATTTCCATCTAAACAAATGAGCTCTATCCCTTGGGGCTGTATTTTCATAGAAAGTTTGTTTTGGGGAAAATGTGAGAGAAAAAGTTCGGGTGGGGGTAAATTGTATAGAAAGCGTGGTTTTGGGGGTTTTTTATAATTTTTCCAAACAAGTTTGAAGAATAGCAGAGGACCCTGTTTCTATGCGGCCAAGCCCGCATATGTAGAAATGCAGGCCTATTAATAAATATATTTTTGAGATGGATTTTTGGACTTAATTTTTAAAGATATGTAATCTCTTACACGGAGATCATGAATATGAAAAAATAAATAAATTTTAAAAACTAAAAACTATAATTCTAAGAAGAAAACATTTGGACCGTTATTTGCATTGTTTTTAAATGGAACACCTACTTGCAACCATCTTTAAGATGAATGCTTGTTTTTAGATGGCACACCCACTTGCAACACTTTAAAATGGATGCTTTACACCTTTTTTTTTACCGCATGTGTTCTTATGCGATCCATCCCGCATGAGACAATTTTCCATCAGTAAATATGAATAAGCAACACCTGTGCTTAGTTTGAATGCCCCTATATCATGAAACGCTTTAAAGATTAAACAATTGTAGAAAACCTTGATTATAAAATTTAGTTTGATAGACTGAATCACGTCCCTTAGTTTTGAGGGATTGCCTCAAGTAAGGGTCGAACGAATTCTGGTCAGGCCTGAAGGATATCATAGAAGAGAACCTAATTGTAGATAATGTGGTATTTTAGAGAACAATTTGACGATATATTTTGAAAGATTTTACCCTTCTCATTCCGGCATTTTGAAATTTCAGGGTAATCAGAAACTGTTTTCTAAATTTTATCTACTATCTTGTTTTGCTTTGCATTATTTTTTTGATTTGAGCCATTTGTATTCAAGTTTGGAATTCCAGTAAGAAATATCCCTCTACATAAATGTCAGATTGTATTTGATTGAAGTTGGAAGGCCACTTCAAAACTGGTTGCCAAAAGATTGTATTTGATTGAAGTTGGAAGGCCACTACAAAGCTGGTTGCCAAAAAATAAAAAAATGCAATCTTTACTTGGTGTGTAAATAAATAAACCTTGGAGTACTTACCAAATATATTATTTCAGTTTTCGAATTCTTTGGGCAAGTTTTTTAATGCTTTCTCCACAGCATAAAACTTATATACTTCTCCTTATCCAACCGTCCATTCTAGATGGACAGCTAACGTTGTCCCAATCACAATGTCATGTCTCTACATTATTTTATTTTTAATTTTTTTTATATGAAATTATTTTCATAACAAATTTTGGACATTCATTTCTCTATTAAACTCGCACAAGCGAAAAATATAAAAAAAATATTTTCAATAAAATAAAATGACCAAAATACCTTTGAAAGATTCAAAAGGTATTTTGATCATTATATTTTATCAAAAAATTTAATTTAAATATTTTTTTATAGGTGCGCCCCAATGAAAAGATGACACATACCAAATTTCATATTCATACAACTTTTATAAAAAAACTAAAAATAAAATTCTTTGAGACATCAAATCTAAAATTAAACGGTGAGCGGCTCTCTTGATCAAAATTGGACCGCTGGATGGTAGGAGAAGGATAGAACTTCTATGCTATAGGAGAAGTATAAAACCTTTCTCTTCCTTTATTTACCTTGAAAATATTTTGTTCCTTTTGGTTTCTTTGTTTCTTTTCAATACCTATTCGTTATGGTAATTTGGAAACTGTAGTAAAAAACTGAATTAAAAGAACCAACGTAATACGGATGAAATGCAAAATAATAACTGGGATGGATCCTAGAAGTAGTAGGACCCTTGTCTTCAATGTCTGTGGCCTCTGACGACTTGGACAATGGCTGGTTTTTGATGGAATTACATATGGTCTCCACCATCCATGGTAGGCAACAGACTTGAGAATGAGTTCCTGCATGATCTCGTGCTGTGTTCAAAACAACGACTTGGACTGAGGACACCGCCCATGCCTGAGCCAACTACTGCTCGAGTCCAAACTCAGGCCAGGTATTGTAGGCCCAAGTCCGAACTCGAGCAAAGTAAAGTAGCAGAAGAAGGAAAAAAAGAAAAAAAATACAAAAAAAATCTAAAATCATATGAAAAAAAGTTGGATGTTGAAGCATCAGTTTGTGATGGGGCTATTTAGGAAATTACCTAAAAAGATGGGAAAAGAAAAAATAAGTATTCATCATCAAAATACATTCCAATCTTTCCCATAGAAAACATAAAAAAAAAACATGTTAGACATTGATTTCTTTTTTTTGAAATTTTTATAATGCTTTTGAATGTTTTAAGACCCGAGTTAGACCCCTACTCGGTACAACTCCCGCTAGCCTACTGCCCGAGTCCGAATACGTCGATCGATTTTTCAAACACTGGTTTTGTATAAGTTGGATTGGCCTATGATCTTTTACCATGAAATAACAAAAGACCTCTACTCAAAACTAATCCCTTCAATAATTCATGAATGGCTTTACAAGGACAGGGAACTGTAAAAATTTTGTAGAAGATAATGAAACACATCAATACCCAACATGAACTTTTCAATCTACATCAAACCCACAAACAAAAATATCAAAATCATTGAGTAACAGTTTCTATCCCTCTCACAATCTTAAACCAGCAAGCAAACAACAAACTGTGATCAAATCGAATTGGCATAGGAGAAATCAATCAAACATGGAATACGCTTGGAGAAAGAAAATGGTCAAATTGAATTGGCATAGGAGAAATGAATCAGAACTGGAATACGATTGAAGAGAGCAAATGGAAGACAATAGGGGGATAATTGATCAAAGAGGGCGTTGAAGAGCTTGCACCAACTTCCTTTTGATCTCTCTTATATCGACCTCTGTACCACCACTCACCTTCCTCGTCGACTGCACAACATGGAACCACTGATCCCCTCTGCTCGAAGACGAGCACGACACCACGTCCAGTCCAATCGACTCTTCCATCGCACCCACCAGGCAAGACATGCACCGTCGGCCCCCCTCTCTGCTCAACCCACCCATTACCACCTCTACCCCTTCTCCCAACTCCCTCACCTCCAATTTCTCGACCATGCCGCAGCTAATGTCGGGCAACACTGAGTGTTTGCACTCACAGCCCCTTCTCAGATCGTCTCTCACTTCGATTAGCTCCCGGATCTTCTTCTGCTTGTGTGCAATGTAGCTGGAAGCCTGAGTCACCTGATCAGATATTGACCGTTTGCCCTAATACACCATGGCATCAATCAATTAGCAGCCAAATGGTCAAACCCATGGAGTTGTTGCTATGAATCAAAAGAGGAGAACCAAGACTCATTTATTCTACTTACCTTAAGGTACTCATGGGGAAGGAGAGATCTGAGAGAAACACAGAGGGTGGCCATCTCATGACGCCGCTGCCGCTCCACTTCCCTGTGCGACATTTTCCGGCATCCACTGACCGGAGATGCTGGCGTGTTCGCCATTTCCGGTGCTGGAGCTGCTTCAACCTTGGAGAAAAACCATTAGATGGGGTTTTCTTGTTGTGCTGGAGATTGGGGGACGGCATGCGGAAGGGGACGAGGAGCTCTGTAACAACAGCTCATCTATAAGGAAAGATGAGATGAAATCCTTGACAGTCAGACCTACCAGTGGACCCTAATATAATCTTTATTCAATCCATTGGAGAGAGAGCTTTGCTGAGGCAACGCATGACGTCAATCCCCATAGCGAATAATTAAAGGACACGGTTTCTACTAGTCTAGCTATAAATGAGTCTCCTCTTAAAAATTTATTTTTAAAGTGGATTTTTGGACTTTTAACACTGAGATCATATATATTAAAAAAAATAAAAAAATAAAAAATAATATTTAAAATAATAATTATACTAAAAAAATATTTAGACAGTTAATTTCAATGTTTTTAAATAGACAACATATTTACATCCATCTTTAAAGTAAATGCTTTATATATTGGAGAATGCAAATGTAGAAATGTGTCTAGACATTTCTTCTTCATACGTGAGCCTTTGCAATTCAGTGTGTACAATCAGTGTTCCATTCTACGAACCAGACCCAAAAACTGGCTAAAGCCGGAGTTTGAGTAACCCGAAAACTGGCCGGCTCACCCTAACTAATTGGGCAGGTCCCAACTGGGGCAAAAAACGGGTTAAACAAAATATAAAAATAGATTTTAAAGAATTGATTTTGTTCTAGGGTGTTTTAGAAATGGGTGCAGTTGGCATACAGATGCATCCGTAGCTGTAGAGGTAAGGTACAACTTCGCGTTCATCTTGTGGGCTTGCATGGTCCAGAATCACTTCAATTGATTTTGGGGTAGGTAGTGGTGGTCATGTGGCATGCGCAGGGCTAAAACACTAGGGCTTGGGGCACAAACTATGGCATGAGGGTTAGACCTGGGCAAGGGCAGCCCGGCCCTGCCCTCGTTTTATTTACTTTTGGTTTTCATTTTTTTAATTCTAGCTAACCTGGCTCGGCATTGATAGGGCTAGGGCCGGCTTGGGCCCTGGCTTTTTGGTTTCTTTGGCCCAGCCAAGCTAGTCCAAGCTGGGCCTAGACGGCCTGTCCTATTGGCAATATGGTTGCGCTAGGGCTAGACCTGACTTTTTCTTGCCCAATAAACGGGTATTATGATATGCATTTTCATTTTATACAATATTATTATGTCAGGTTAACATGTCTCACAAAAATAAAAAAAAGGTCCCAATTCTTGAGAAATTGTGAGGCACATTCCCATCATTATGGGACATATTCCCTTCTTTAAGAGAAGAGAGAGAGAGAATACGCACTTTTGAGAGAAAGAGAGAGAGCAATTTGAGAGAGAGAGAGAGTTATCTTAATTTTAGAGAGAGAGAATACGACTCAATTTGAGAGAGAAAATAAATCATTGCCTAAACGTACCGTATTTTGAAAGACAATTTTTGGAAAGATACGTATTCATATGTATTGTTCCCAATGAAGAAAGCTTAGCTTTGAACTTAATTTGTAGATTGTAAGACGCATTGCCTTCTTTAAAGGAAGACAGAGAGAGCACAATTTGAGAGAGAGAGAGAGAGGGTACGACACAATTTGCGAGAGAGAGAATCACTCCTTAAATAAACATGCCATATTTTGAAAGACAATTTTCAGAAAGATGTAGATTCGTACGTTCCAACGAAGAAAGTTTTATCATTTGTAGGGATTCATTAGATCATGGAGAAAGTTTTATCATTTGTAGGGATTCATTAGATCAAGGAGAAATTTTAAAAAAAATTGATGGATGAGAATGAGTTCTTAACGACAACCCCCATTTAAGTCTAGAGATGAAAATAAATAAAATGGAAAAAGGGCTAGGGTCGTGGTGGTAGTACTCATAGTTCGTAAATCGCCTTTTAATTGGTGTTTTTTTAAAAAAATTGGCAATTTTACGGAAACAACTTTAAACGGCAACCTTTTGAAAAGGTTGTGAAAAAATCGCGTACTTTTCATACAAATGTTTAAAACACGATTTTTTTTAGAATTCGATTTAAATTAGGCCAAAAAATCGTATCGTTTTTTACCTATAATTTTTTTTCCCTGTTTTTTGTATTGTAGCCATTACTACTTTCATTCTTTTGAAAAACAAATATTATTTTAAAAAAAAATCCCAAAATAGAAATTTGTATCCCCACTGTGCTCTTCAAAGCCACAGTTGCACATTGAAAGTATGAAAATTTATCCCTTTTTTAAAAAATTTAAACAAAGTTGTTATTGTGGAAAATCATTGTGTAAATGAAATAATAGAATTTATAGCAAATCATTTCGTAAAGTAAATCATTCTGTAAAGAAAATCATATACATGTAGATTTCTGTTATTATTTGTGATAATTATTTTTATGAAAATAATGTTTATGGCACAAATTAGAGCTCAAAACATAGTCTTTTACTAATGAATGAGAAGCAGAGAGTGTGAGTGCAGGCTTTTGATTATGTGATAACAAAGATAAACAATATAGTGTAAACTGTAAACTTACATGTGCAAGCAATCTCCCAAACTTGCCGTTTCCCCCACAAAATGAAAAGCCCTATTCTTTTTCTCTCTCTAAAAATCAAGGCCTCTTCACAAATCAAAAAATCAATTAGGGCCTCTTCACAAATCAGTATAATTAGGATTTTCTATGGCTTTCTCTTAAACAACAACAACTCAAATCAGAGAGAAAAATCCTCTTCAAACTATCCCAAATCAGTATCCCCTCTTCCTTTCCTTTTTTTCTCTAAAAATCAGTTAGGTCCTCTTCCATTAGGGTTTATAAAGCTTATGAACTCTTCCTTCTTCCTTCTTCTCTCTCTATAAACCAAAGCTGATGAACTTTTCCTACTTCCTTCTTTTCCCTCTATAAACCCTAAAGGCTATGAGCCTCTTCCTTCATCCTTTTTTCTCTCTCTAAACCGTAAATAGAGAGATGTGAAACCCAAATATCTAGGAGCCTATTTTCAATTGAAGAAATTTATAAAACTTTAACCATAGTTATGTAGTGACCATAATCCCCATATTATAGTTAAATTATTGTAATGAGAAAGAAAAATCGTGAACTTTTATTTTGGTACCAGCTAAGTAGGTGTGATGTTTTAAGTATTTAATGAATTTATGTAGTATATTTGTCACCATACTATAGTTAAAAGTATTTAATAAATAAATTTATATAATATATTTTTTTTTGGTTTGTAATAAGTAGGTGCGATGTTTCTTAAAATATGTCATGGGTAGATTGATATGGTACATGTTTTTTGGTATATACTAGTTAATTATGTATTTAATATTAGATGATTAGATGAGAGTCACAGGGCATCTAAATTAATTGACTCAATTATATTAGTCTAGTAGAGTTTTTATGGATGAATTAGTTATTGATAGTTTTGACATAATTTTTATTTTTTAGAATAATAAAATTTCTAATATTATAAATTCATTCGATTTTTTTACTCCAATTTGTTTAGCCTAATCCGATATATTAGCGATATCTTTATATGAAGTATTTTAGCCTATCTGTATTTTTTACCCGATTTTTTCATCCGACTTTTTAAAATAAAAACGATTTATTTTCGATTTTATGATGAGCCGATTGATAGTCCCCGACTTGCGAATTATGGTAGTACCCCACACCCTAATTTCATTCTCACCACTAACATCACCCCAATAATATATTCCAAAAAGTCTAACTCCTAATCTATTTAAATTTCATTCTCACCACTAACACCACCCCAATAATATATTCCAAAAAGTCTAACTCCTAATCTATTTAAATTTCATTCTCACCACTAACACCACCCCCAATAATATATTCCAAAAAGTCTAACTCCTAATCTATTTAAAAAAATGGGTAAGGCGCTATCTTCCCCACGGAATAAGCCAAAAAAACGAAAAAAAGATAAATGTTTTGGAAAGACAGAGATTCGTATGTGGTATTGTTCCCAATGAAGAAAGCACATCTTTGAACCTAATTTGTAGGGATTCCGATGATCAAGTAGGATTTAAAAACACAATTGATGGATGCGAATGAGATATGAACAACCGCCCAATTTAAGAACAGAGATCATACCACAATATAAGTACTAAAAAATGAATATTTATGCTATTCTATATTTTTTATGTCAAATAATAAAAATTTTGTCTTTCAAATTCAAAGAGATTGAAATAGTTTATCTCTTTAAAAAATTACTTTATTTTTATAATTAATACTTTTAATTTTTTAAAAATAAGTTTGTTTTTTGTATTTTCATGCTTCTTAAAATTTTAGTCAATTATAATTTTTATCAAAATATTTCTAATAGTTGAAATTAAATACATACTCTTAATTCGTAGAAAAGTAGAAACCAACTTTAGATCTCTTTTAGTTTAAAATTTTGAATTTTTAATGTTTTAAACTTTCATTTGCTTATTTTTCCTTTTTAAGTTATAAAAATTGAGTTCATCTTTTAGCAAATTTTCCATGTTTCATATATAGTTTGTGATCCGTTCTCACAACTGTAATACTTTGAAATAATTTTTTTAAGAAGTAAAATAATGATATTTTTATAACCTGCGACCCTCAGATAAGTACGTCAAATTTTTATCATTGCCTTTATATTATTTTTAAATTTTTTATTTATTTTTTGTGTCTCTCCTTCTATTTATGGGGTATATATTTCTTATTTTCAAATTTTTATTTTCTTAACTCTCCTTGAACTTATATTTAAAATTTATCAATTATCACTTTTATTATGTGATTTTTTTCCCTCTCTTCTTGAATTTATACGGTTTCTTAGATTTTTAAAAATGATAAACGTAAAGAGTTTAAAAGTTAAAATTTTATCTCTTTCAATATTCTCTCCTGAAACCCAATGACAATTTCTAAAATCCTTCTACGTATGACTGTCTTATCTCTCTCATTTAAATTTCTCTCAGAAAGGTGCAGTTGGTATAGGGATGCATCCGTAGCTGTAGCGGTAAGGTGCACCTTCAAATTTTATCATAGTATATAATTTTGATGTAAAATGTTTTTAGGATTATCTCAAAATCTATTTTTATATATAATTATATAAAATTTTAAATTTAAAAATTGGTTAAAATCAAATAGATCTATAAACATATGAAGATTTTGAAAATGGACGGTGTAGATAATATGTT